GATAAACCAACAGCCAGCATCATAGTTCATGGTCAAAAACTGAAAGATTTCACTCTAAAATCAGGATCAAGAAAGGATCCTCATGGGGCCGGGGAGATGGCTCAGTGGAATAAGCGCTTCCCTGGCAAGCGCAAGGGCCTGAGTTCAATCCCCGGTTCCACAAAAAAAAAAAAAAGAAAGGATGCTCACAATCACTATTTCTCAATATAGTTCTAGTAACATTAGCCAGAGCAATTAGACAAGAGAAAGAAATAAAAGGAATCAGGATAGGAAAGGAAGAAGTTAAATTATCATTATTTGTGGATGGTGGAATACTCTTCTACATAGAAGACTCCAAAAACTCCACCAATAGACTTGATTTAATAACTAAATTCAGTAGTGTACTTGGATACAAAGTCAACACTCAAAAATCAATGACGGGCTGGTGAGATGGCTCAGTGGTCTAAAACACCTACTTAGAACAAGCTTAGCAAAACACAGGGACCGCGGTTCAATCCCCCAGCACCACATGCCAGCCAGCCCCGCCCCCTGGTGGGCTGAGCTGCCACACACACACACAAATAAATAAATAAAAATTTAAAAAAAATCAATGACATTCCTATACACAAAAAACAAACTCACTGAGAGGAAATTAGAGAAATGACACTTTTTCACAACAGCATCAGAAAAATGAAATACTGGGCCAGCCAGATAGCTCAGCACACTAAAGCGCCTGCTTAGGCAGAGTGCAGCAGTCAGGATTTGATCCCCAGCGTGCTGTGCTGGCCCCACCCCCCAGGATGCACTGAGAGGGCGATTGACACTGGGCGTGGTGGCATATGCCTGTAATCCCAGGGTTTGGGAGGCTGAAAACAGGAGAATCACTACAAGTCCAATCTATACAGTGAGACCCTGTAAGCCCTGTGCTAAACACATTTTTTTTTAAAAAAGGAAAACTTTAGTACTTTCAAAAAATGAGATGGAAAAGGATATCAGAAAATGGAAAGATATCTCCTGTTCTTGGACTGGCAGAACTAATATAGTGAAAATGGCCATTCTTCCAAAACTGTTATATAGATTATTATAATCCCAATCAAAATCCCAATGGCATTTGTCACAGAGATAGAGGAAAAAATCCTGAAATTTATATGGAGCCAGAAGAAGCCTAGAGTAGTAGAATCAATTCTGCGCAGAAAAGCAAGGTGGGAAGACATCATAATCACCAATTTGAAGTTATACTATAAAGCTAAAATCATGATGAGGGGGCCGGGGAGATGGCTCAGTAGGATAAGCGCTTGACTGGTAAACTCAAGGATCTGAGTTCAATCCCCGGTTCTGCCAAAAAAAAAAAAAAAAAAGATGAGGATAATGATCATGATGATGATAAAGCGTAGTACTGGCAAAACAAACGAAACAATAACCAGACCTGAGGATCAATGCAACAGCTTAGGAGCTATAGAAACACTGCCCCCCATCTTTAAAAAGGCCAAACAACTTCACTGGGCGAATAAATGATGCTGGCAAAACTGGGTTTCCAGGGGCTGAGGAGATGGTGTAGAAGAATAAGAGCTTGCCTGCCAAGCGCAAGGGCCGGTTCACCAAATCGGTTCAATCCCTGGTTCCACCAAAAGAAAAAAAGAAAAGCAAAACAAAACAAAAAAAAAACAAACCCTGGGTCTCCACATGTGGACAACTGGACCTAGACTCATATTTCTCACTATGCAAGATCTAAATACCAAAATAGAAACATTTAATCTGCTGGAAGATAGAATAGGTGAAACTCGTAACTCAGGACCTTGTGCTTGCCAACCCTAGGTAAAACTCTTGATGACATAGGTGTAGGCAAAGACTTTAGGAACAAAACTCTAAGTATATAAGAAAATGTGACAACGAATCAACAACTTGGATCACATTAAATTAAAAATCTTTTTTTTTTTTTTTTTCACAAAAAGATCACCAGAGTAAAGAGACAGCCCACAGAGTGGGAAAAAAATTTACTAGCTGCTCCTAAGACAAAGGACTCATGTTCAACAGGGGTGGTGAAGCTGTAGCACATGAGTTGCTTTTTCTAAACTAAAACCTCAGGTTTAATTTCTTTTTTCTTTTTTTTCCCTCTTTGGTATCAGGAGTTGAACTAACGACCTTGCTTTTTCCAGGCAGACACTGTACTGCTGAGCTAAATCTCCAGCCAGGTTTAATTTCAATGTTGTGACATCATGATAAATACATGGGTTTGGGACTGCAGTTTGGGCTTTCAGTCTCTTAAAATTTCACCATCAATGCTTTAGAATCTATGAAGAACTCAAAAAAAAAAAAAAAACTTTCAAAATTTGAAGACCCAGTCCAAAAAATGGGCATTTGAAATGAATACACATCCTCAGATGAAGAAATATTAATGGCAAATAAATACATGAAAAAAAGTTCCACATCACTGGTCATTCAAGAAATACAAATTAAAACAACACCGAGATTCCATCTCACCCCAGAAAGAATGGCTGTCATCAAGAAATCAACCAAGGGGGCTGGAGAGATGGCTCAGTGGTCTAAAGCACCTACTTAGAACAAGCTTAGCAAAGCATCACGGACCGCGGTTT